GGCCTTGTACGCAAGACGTTTTGAACAGCGGGAGTCTTGTAAGGAAGAAGATAAAAAATGAATTGATAGTTTTTTTGTTTTCCTTTGTTTTCGCTTTTGCGCTCTGATATTTATGTGGCGATATATATATATATACTAATCAAGTTGAGTTTTGTCTATCTACTTATCACCATGTTCGTTGTATGATGTTTCTCAGCAGATGACTCCAGGGCGTTTTTATTGAATGGTTAGCGTTGTGGGGTCTAAAATTCTCTAAATGAGCTCTCCGGGGGACAGGGATACAGCAGCCCCATCTGGTCACTCGGACCAGTGCCTTAGAATACAGCCCCATATGGTTTGGCTTGAAATCCAACTGCATGAAGTTAGCTGACTACCTTCTTCCCCCAAACATAACGCATATGCGTTGTATTCGAGTTCTCAAAAAAAATTACAAAAATTGAATAGAACACGCATGCCTAGTGTTCGAAACCGAGGTCTATTTGAATAGAAAGCATCTGATGCGTTGTATTCGAATAGAAAGCACCTTATGCTCAGGAGCTGCAGTGGCTTGAAACCCGGCAGACCCAACTTCACACTAGGTGCTCCAGTGATTTTTCATTATCACCATCACCATCACCATCATCATCATTATCATCATCATCATCTTCTTCATCTTATAGCATTAGTAGCATCATCAGGGTTCCATGAGGGATGCTGGGTCCAGTTCCCAGGATGTTCTTTTTTTTTTTTTTTTGCCAACAAACTTCAGCGTGGGAAAACCTACTTAACGAGGTGATAAGAGCAGCCCCGTTCAGTAGGCCTCACCGTTGAAGGCTCCATCTATTGGTGGGGAGCTACACCTGCTGGAAATCGGGCCCAGCATGTTCTGATCTACCAACTTAAACCACCAGTACTTGGCCCAGCCATGGGCCGCGGAAAAAAATAGAGTAGAAACGTTTCTAGTTGGATGAATTTGGGCGCTCCTGTAGTGGCCCGTACGTTTCCAAAATCGCGTAGCGTTAACGGGCACGACTTTAGGAAGTACTGGTGGTTTCACAATGTATCTCAGGGGATGTTGGACCCGCTTTGCTGCAGGTGATAGCTCCCCACCAACAGTAGAATGGAGCCACCTTCAGGATAGGTAGGAGTGTATGCCTTTTTTTTTTTCTTTTTTTCTTTTTTTTTTTGAGAGGAAACTTCAGGCTTGGGTGACCTGCTTAGCGAGTTTGTAAGAGCATCCTCGCTAAGCAGGGCCCTGTGTGTGAAGGCTCCATCTATTGGTGGCGAGCTGCACCTGCTGGGAACCGGGCCCAGCATCCCATTATTACATTATGACCGCCTTTTTTTTTTTTTTTTTTTTTTTTTAACCTCTCCAGTTCAGATGCGCTGGATATAAGTTCATATAACATGTCCTTATGACTCGTGGTTTGTATTGACCAGCAATGGTCCTGCCCTACCTGCCCCGCCCCACCTCTATGTAGGAGTGTATGCTTCTATCATCGCTCCTACCTGTTTTCACGGGCGGTAATTTAAAAAAAAAAAAAAAAAACACCAGGGGCATATCGCTTACCTGCAACGGCCAACCGTAGAAGAAATTCAGGGGTCGAGCTGCATGACGGGAAGCAGCACACTCTGAAGCAAAGGCAAGCGGCCAAATGATGGATGGGTACTGCTGTCTTCTTTTGGACGTATGTTGAAATTGGAACGATACAGAGAAGATAGATAGCATGGGCCCGTGTGCAAGTATGACACGCTATTAGATAGACAGAGGACCTTTTCGTAGACTACGATTTCCTAGTCTCGCTATTGGGTCCACAGATCATGCTGCCCCCTATACCCACTATATAATGTATATCGTTGAGCAATGCCCCCTGGATGCTGCTAATGTCCTTCCATGAGCGACTCGCCTTGGATGCTGCATGACACGCTATTGGATAGAAAACGTTTTTGTAGCATCGCTATTGGATAGACGATGATTTCCTAGTCTCACTTTTGGGTCCACAGCTCATGCTGCCCCGTATATCCGTGAGTGCCTCACCCTGGATGCTGCTAATGTGCACGAGTGACTCGCCTTGAATGCTGCTTGATCTGTGCCTGGAGGCCTTCAGCCCCTGTACCCCCTTTTTCAGGCACTAGGGGCCCTGGCACCCTTGCCCAAGGGTGTCATTTCCTGCCCGCCTCCGTATAGTGGAGGGAGGAGGGAATCAGTATTCCTCTCTGAGTTGGGTTTATTTTTTTGGGGGGGGACAAGGCTCCAATCTATTCGTGGGGATTAGCACGTGCTGGGAACTGGGCCCAGAGTCCCATATGGAAATTTACATCGAATTTTGAAAGTTTGAGAAACCGGGGCCATTACCCGGCTTTGACTGAGAGAACTTTAAGAGAATTTTGAGCTACTTAGAAAATTATTACCACAAACTACACAAAAAAAGGTCTGCCCACAACAAAACATGCCACCACAGAGGTCCCACAAATGCTCAAAACCCTGTGAATCCCTAGCAACCCTTCTAATGCTCTCCAACAGTCTTACTCCCTGCCGAGCTCTTCCAGGCCTCGCACCCCCACTCTGCTGGGTTACAGGGCAACACAACTCGCCCCAGCTCCGGCCAGCGTCATCCCAGCAGCACCCCTAGGTTGTCCCTTGGAATGCCCACCGCAAAGCATCCCAAGATCTCTCTACCAGTCCTCACACTCCTGCATCAGCAGGTTACAGGGCAACACCCCAGCACCGGGCAGCGTCGTTCTGGCATCGAACAGCCGCAGATCACCGAGTATATCAGCAATGGAGTCGTCGAAGATGAGTTGCTAGAAGTCCCCAGAATCTTAAATCATTCTTAAGACCCCCATTGGCAACCAAAACCAACAAACCATGGATAAAGGGAAAACTCAGAAACATTCATCGCAATTACTCAAAACTCTACCAACACTGGAATGTGTGTCAAAAACCCTCCCAACCACGAATCAGATAGGTGAATCCTATTCAATCCACCTACGACCACCTCCAGCATGGCTGTTTTCAGCATGAACCGAAGCTCTTCCAGGCCTCATGCTCCCATCAGGTTAGGTTACAGAGTTGCGCCACCTTGCTCCAGCGCCAGCCAGCATTGCTCCGGTTACGACCCCCGATGACCAGTGAGACTGCCCCCGCAAACAGCCCCCCAGATCTCTTTACCAGGCCTCACACCCCCACTAAGCTAGGTCACAGAGTTG